TTTTTAGACTTGGTACCTAATTTTCTATAATAGAGAGTGAAATGGAGATTGAGAAAACAAATGATGATGTTGGCCAGTTCGGTGAGGAGTTGTGCTGTACCAGATGAAGAAGATGGGGGAATGATTGTCATGGAAGAGACTGTAACTCAAAACACTAAAATGGAGATTGAAATTAATGTGATTGACTCTATGAAAATTTCTGGATAGAAGTAGAAGATAAGAAAGAAATTAAAGACTCTATCAAGTTTTAAGACTTAGCAAAAGCTTTAGGGAGGAAGCTTGTGGGAGATGATGTTTCTTTCACTTGTTTTGATAGTGAGGACCTTGTCATGTGTGACGTAGGTGAGTTTCTTGTATAGTGACATATAATATTATAAATATAAGTAGAAAAAAATGTGTTCACATGTTTCTCAAATTTTTTTGTTTATTTTATGTTTTATGGGGCTTATAAATAATTTTTCCTTGTGAATTTACAGAGGTTGTCCAAAAGCATATCATCCATCTTGTGTTAATAGAGATGAAGTATTTTCAAAGCCAAGTGGATCTGAAATTGTGGTAAGTGTCGCTTTCTATTTCCGCAAGTGTTTAAATGCATAATTGGAGATAAATAGTGAATGTTTTTTTATAGGTTTATTTAATTGAAATAATATTTTGTAAAAACACCTGCAAGTTTCATTTGAGTTTTGTAAATGAAGTTTCCATGCTTATAATGAATTTCAAAAATTATAATGTGGATGTGAATGAGTCAGATTACCTAGTCCTCACAGTTAGCTTCTTTTGATGTGCCGTTCAGAAATAAGATATGCAACTATACAATGCGTCAATATTGACTTTCTTCATTGATTACTTTGTCATGTGATTTGTTTGAACTACTGTTTCATCAGTTCTACACATATTTTTTATTAGTTCTTGTATTAGATTGATTTCGTACTTAATACTAGCAAATAGGTTTTTGACTACTACGTGTGATTTGGGATCTTTTGAGCTGAGGAAATTGTTTAACCATGATATATCTATAGCACTTTTAAAGTTTTTACCGTTGCTGTGCTTTTGCCCTTTACTTGTGATATGACTTTAGAAACATATAAGCATGTATAGTTTGGTATAGTTTGCTTGAATGATGCATTCCAGTTGAAAAGTTCACAATTGATCGTGTTCACAAAAGTGGGGCTATTTTTTACTCTGCAAAGTTAAGGTAAGTATGAGATTTCTAGACATTACATAATTAAAAATTCTTTATTCCACTTACAATTCAATATAGGTGCAGTCATATGGAATGATTCACATTATTGTCTCATTATAAGCAAGCTTTGACTATTGAGTGTAGAGATAGGGCTTCAAACACTTTGTCATAATAAGCTTTAAAGGCATGTTGAATTCGGTAAATTCTCTTTTTATTTTAATCAGTAGAATCTAAGAGAAGTTTGTCTTTTATTTTCCAAGGTAGTTAAAGATGAATTCTCTTATGGAAAGCAATCTATGGAAGTTTGATCA